TGCTGAAGGAGAATGAATTTCTGTTGGAATAATGCAAAGATGGATAGTGTAGATAGTGTTGATGAAAGCACAACACAATAAATACAACTAATGTCACCAAATTATACACTTAAAAATAGTGAAGATGGCAAACGTTTTGGTATATATATTTTACCACAATAGAATTGAGGGAGGGAGGGAGAAGACTAGTATACACCCAAACATACACCAATGCCTTTAAATGAAGGGAATTCTCTAACTTTAAAGCATCTGTCCTATGATAATGTAAAATTTAAAACAGAAATGCATTGAACTAGTCTGTTAGTCTGGAATTGCAAATTTATACTTATGTTCCTAATATATTTAGGACCTAGGCAACTGAGATGAATAAGAAAGAAACATAGTATGTAATCTAGGCTTTCACAGATGATGTCTTAATGTCAAGAAGTATGAAATAGTGTAAAATTCTAGAAAATGAGACATTCAGGGACAATGACTAAAATTCAGGTAGCTAAGACTCAGAGTTCACTGTTTAACTCTGTTTATTCTTCTGTGACACTCATGCCAAAAGAACAGTGAATGACAAAGTGAGAGACATAATATTTATTGTGTTGTCATGGTTTCCATATTAACAAATAAAAAGTAATGCTCACTTCCTAGTAAGTTCCATTTGGTACAAACTCTTAGGTATCATTGTTCTCAATTAGACCATAGAGTGTAATTGTGTTTAATCCCTTTTTTTGTTTAAGATTCTGGCAGTAGAGAAATAAATATTTATATATTTCTGTGCATAAACACCCACATGTAGGCATAATAGATAAAAGCTAGGAATTTTAAACTATATCCTTCTGATGTCAAGTAACTATTTCTTTGACTCACATCTTTTGATGGCAGAAATATTATTTTGGAATGACAGAGGAAATTTAAGGTTAAGGATTTTATTACTGAGGTTTGACAGGAAACAAGGGAAACTTTCGATTTCAAATGGTCTAACTAAATGGTCTAACTATCTTAGAAAAGTGAATTAAAGTCTAATAGAAATACTTTCTGAAAATGAAAGAAATTATTGTAATTCATAAGAATGGTAAAGATTGTGACAGTGAATGTTATACCAAATATCCTTCAGACACACTGAGACAAAAATAAGCCTTCAGGCTCAAAGTATTTATTAATTGCCACGGAGTCAGCCTAGACTCATGGCAACCCTATGTGTTTAGAATAAAACTCAGCCCATAAAAATCAAGGCTGTGATTTTTCTAAGGTCGATCAGGCTGTCTTCTGAGGAGGCTGTGGGTAGGTAGGAATTACCAAAACCTTTCTGCTAGTAGTCAAGTGCTTAACCATTTGCACCACCCAGCAACTACTAGAGCTCAATAATCCTTCCTTCTTATCTGTTAGAAAAACAAATCGTGGACACTGAGGATACTATGAGTTATGCTGGCCAATACCAAAAAAAAAGCGACCACAGGCAGGCCGTGGGTAGCAACTGAGAGGTAGGAGGAGAGGAGTGCTGTCCCCATCACATTCCCCACCCTCCTTTGCATTAGTTCAGCTGGGTAAATGAGGGACAAATGGAGAAAGGTCTTACTTGATGGGAGTTTGCTGAATTCATGCACAAATGCTGTTGGAAGGATTTAAATGCAAGCTTTGCTATTTCCTAGCTGTGTCACCTTGGGGAAGTTACTTAACTTTTCTGAACAATGGTTTCCTCCATTGGTAAAATAGAGGAATATTTATTAAAATGATATTTATTAAAGAATAATAAAGCTTATCTCAGAATTTTGTGAGAATTCATTTAAAAATTGAATGCAACATTCAATAAATGTTGAAGGTTAGAATCCTACCCTATTTTTTAGAGGAAACATTACACCTAAAAAGAGAGTTCAAACACTTAGTGTAAAAAGAGCCTGAGTTTTTTCTCCTTAACAGAAATGTTTGGAAGTAAATATTTGAGTACTTAAAATGTCCCATTAAAAATATGTGGTTTCCAAAATGCTTCTTGGTGCAAACATTTAAATCATGGTAAAGTAATATCTACATTCATTTTTATATACCTTTTACCTTTATACCTAAAAATATGTCAATGATTTTTAAAGTAACAACACAATTTTGTCATAACTTTTTGATAATATCTTTTATTTGCTTCAACACCCTCCTATAGAATTTGACTTCTAAATGCGCTTTACACAATTGATGTGTGTATGGATTGCGATAACAGTTGTATGAGCCCCTAATAAAATGTTAAAAAAAAAACAAAAACATCTGGAAGCTAAAAAAAAAAAAAGAATTTGACTTCTAATTTCAGAAGCTGAGCAGCTTATAAGAGGAAACAAAATAAGACTGCAATATGTCAAAATCTGACCTATATCAAGAGAAGATTGTGTAATGGGTAAAGAGGAAAGAGCAACAGTCCTAAATTTATGAATAATAACAAAGAGAAAGTGATGAGGGAATAGCTCTCACCCAAAGAAAACAATTTCATGAGGCTCTAAGTAGTTCTTATACCACAATGCTTTATGATAGTGTCTGCAACTGCTGATAGAGTCAGAAATGAAGTTGGCACCTCACTCGGAAATCCCAGGTGGGACTTATCTTAAATTTCCAATATGCAACAGGAAATGTTGCCAGTGATTCAATAGCTAACACTCCTTAGCTCTTTTTCTGATGTGTCAACTGAAACAAAAATGCCGCAGAGGCTGTTATTAACTAATAGAAATAAATGTAAGAGTCCCACAGGATACTTCAAAAATCAACAGCTAGGACACTGAACCTGAATAGACACTGGTCACAAATGTTATTAACAAATTCATAAAGCACCTGCTAGAACCAGATAGCCCAGTAAGTTTTTCTAATAAATTATCATATTTTCCACACTGTAATTACTCTAAATTTAACACTGAAAATTAACTGTACAATTCAATACATTCGGATAAGTACGTGGAGCTCTAGTCACCCATTGAATTAAAATGAAAAATTAATTTCTAAGTATAATAACTATAATTTAAACAGTAAAGTTTATGCTATGAACATTTTATAGAAAGTTAGCTACAAATTCATAACAAACATTCTAAAACTAGTCTGATGAATGACTGTCTATATCACTCTCATCCCAGCATCTTTACAGTATACTCTCATTTGTGCAACCCAGTGTTGAGATGGGTCTTCCAGACACACCTCTCTGGCAATGGTACTCAATGCTTCATCTTCTGCAGAAAAGCGGTCTTTCACAGGTGTGCGTTTCCTTCCAGAACCAGGAGTCCCCATCTTGACTTCTTGATGGTCTTCTCTGAAACTTGATTTCACTTCGTTTTCAGTGCTGAAATAAACAGAAACAGATTTAGGACATTTCCCTTCATGGAGTTTCACTGCTTGTCTACACATTCACTTTTAATAAATAGAAATTATATTTCTCTTAAGAAAGATTAGTCACCAGATACTTTGCCCTACTACCAAATTATTCCAATAAAGTTGATGTTAACATTTATACTAATCATTAAATCTTTTTATCACACTACTCCCAGCAACCTCTGAGAATGTGTTATATTAGCCTCGGGAAATGGCAATCAGCAGTAATCCCACTTAACCCTTTAAAATTATTATAGCTACTTCTAAAATCTATTTCTGTTCCAGAAAGAAAAATATCTCAGAAAAGCCACTCAGTATAAAACTTTGAGAGACCATACTCAAGAGTATGTAATATGTAGCCTTAAAGTTACAAAAGTAACTTTGCTTCTAGTGTAATTTATTTAGAAAAGCCAGTAAATCATTACCACACATGGAGTGAAGAACTTAAATTAACAGCACCTAACAACAACAACAAACACTGTGCATGCAACAAATATCTGAGAATCTCTTATTGCCAGGGACTGTGGGAGGTGCCAAATACACAATGATTAAATCGATGTCGTTCAGTGATTAACAGCACATCTGTGTACACACCACAGAATGGATGGAGCTTGAAGACGTGCTAATCAAAATAAGCCCATCTCAAAAGGGTAAGCTATTGAAATTGCATGCCCTCACACAAAGATAAGAAAAAGCGAAAATATAGAGAGAGACCAAAATTGATTAGTGGTTACCTGGGCAGGAGGGTGGTAGGGTACAAATGGAAGTTAGTAGTGATGGAAAAATTACATTGTTCAAGGGTAAGGTTGGACGGTTTATTATTATAATTTTTGTTAAGTTGTACATCTGTAAAAAGCTGAATTTTCAAAGTGTATGATAGATATATTTATAATAATAACAAAAATAATAACTGCTGAGGCTACTTATGTACAACCAAACACATCATGGGATATGATTCTTGAGTTTGGAGGTTTAGGGACATGGTTTCATGGGACATCCCAGCTTGTTGGCCTATAAGTGTGTGGGGCTCCTTTTGTAACTCCTCGTTTGCTGCACAATGCCTGGCTATTAAAGGCTTGCAAGCAACCTTCTAAGGCAAGTAACTGGCTAAGCATTGGGTTGCTGACTGCAAGGTAGGTAAGTCAAAATGACCAGCCAGTTGCTCGATGGGAGAAAATAGGACGCTTTCTACTCTGGTAAAGAGTTACAGTCTCTGAAACACACAGAGGCAGTCTATCCTGTCCTTTCAACCGCTATGAGTTAGAACTGACTCGATGATAACAGTAAGTTTGGTTTTGGTAGTCACCTAGAATAACAATATAAGGAGAGTGAGCAAATTGGGGAAGAGGGCATGGAATATGTGGCTAAGCGCCTCTATGAGCAACTGGCTCCTTTGCCATGAGACCAGAGGAATTGATGACGCCTAGCTATTAAGACTGAACATTTTGATTGGATATTCCAGGGAAGCTCTACTCATCACATAGGGTAGTCACGAGTCAGAACGGACTTGATAGCACCTAACAAAAATAAGTAAATTAGTGCACCTGTGGATCTCTGTTATTATGCTATACTTATTCAACAGAGATCCATTTTTATTAAAGAGAGGAAGAAAGCCTCACCTGTCAGGACTAAGTACTAAAGATGATGACGACCATCCAATGCAAAGGTGGGGAACATCCAGCCTACAGGCCCTAGGAGGGGGTATCAAAACCCCCCCCAGCATTTTCCCCCAAAACTATGGTATGTGTTTAAATATTTTTACAAAACATCCATATCACCTTCAAAGTACTCTCCATTACACTTAATACATTTAACAAATCTGATTCCATTCTCGTAAACATTTTTCAAACTCATCTGTTTGGATGGCTGATAGTACCTCCCTTGTTTTTTTTCTTCACCTCTTCTGCTTCATCATATTGCTGTCCTTTCATGTCCCTCTGCATTCACGGAAACAAAAAAGTCTCACAGAGGAGGTCAGGTGAGTAAGGTGCATGGGGCAAGAGAAGCATGCTGGGGTTGTTGTTTTTTTTTGCCAAAACTGGCACACTGAGATGGCTATGTGAGCAGGTACATTGTCCTGGTAACAAAACCAGTCCCCTGTCCGCCACAAATAAGGCCTTTTTTTGGTCACATACTATAATGAAATCTTTTCAGAAACTCTAAATAGAAAACTTGATTGACAGTCTGACCTGTGGAATGAACTCAAAATGCACAAGTAGACATTTTCGTCCTTTTGGGAAGTTGATGGACTTCCAGAACAAGGTTTGTCAACAATTGACATTTCACTTTTTTTGAAATGAGAAAACCACTCATACACTTGAGTTTTTCCCATAGTGCTGTCCTTGTAAGCTGTGTTCAACATCACAACAGTTTCTGTGGCATTTTTCCCAAGCAGAACACAAAATTTCACAGCCGTATGCTGTTCTATTCCAACGGCCATCAAAAAAACAAGGTTTGAGCAAAACTGCCTTTACAAAACAATTCACTGTGACCAGGCAATGGCACTGGGTAAACTAACTCAGAACAAGTTGCTCTAAATTCGCATAGCTGGGGGCAAAAAAATGCATGCTCTGCCCCATGCAATTCCAGTTTTTTGGGCGGTACCTGTGAAATCAATACCAGCTAACATCACCTGCCTCACCAAAGAGCAATTCCAGCCATCAGTTTAGTGATGAGTTAATTTAATGTTTGACCAGTATGGCTCAAGAATGTTGTTATAAATATCCAAATGGTCCTTGGCAGAAAAACGTTCTGCACCCCTGAGCTAATAGATTAGAGTGTGTAAATTTGAATCTCTCTCTCATACACATCCACAAGTAGTACAGCTCATTTATCTAAACCAAAAACCAAACTCGATGCCATTTAATCAGCTCTGACTCATAGAAACCCAATAGGGCAGGATAGAACTGACCCCTTTAATTTCCGAGACTATAATTCGTTAGGCAGAATTCCCATAAAGAGTTACAGTCTTGGAAATAACAATTCAAATAAATGTATTTGAATTGTGGTGCTGGAGAAGAATACTATATATACTACTCGAGTATAAGCCAACCCGAATATCTGCCGAAGCACCTAATGTTACCACAAAAAATGCATTTAAAAATGTGCTGGAAAACTCTGCTTATACTCGAGTATATATGGTAGTACCATATATACTGCTGAGAGGACAAACCGATCTGTCTTGGAAGAAATAAGGCCAGAGTGCTCCTTAGTGGCTCGGATGACAAGAGTTCATGTTACATATGTTGGAGAGACTAGTCCCTGGAGAAGGACACTGGAAAAGCAGAGAGGTGCAGCAAAGGAGGGGAAGGTTCTCAAGGAGATGAAGTGACACTGTGACTGCAACAATGGGTTCAGGCATCGGAATAACTAACTGTAAGGTGGTGCAGGACTAGGCAGTGTTTTGTCCTGTTATTGGCTATGCTGTTAGCAATGGGTTGCAGCCGACTGGACGGCTACTAACAACTCATTACAGGACTAGAAAGCCAAAGTACTGACCTTTCTGTTAGCAGTCCAACTCGTAACCACTATGCCACCAGGGCATCTTCATTTAGCTAAATGCCCTTTATTAAGATTTTTACCTCCTACTTTTAACAAAACCAACTGGAGAAGTTTTATTGCAAGGTGAACCACAAACAAAATTCATGCAAATCTGTCCCCAAAGATTTTAATATCCTGGAATTTACTTGTCGAAGGTCAAATAACAGAAACCACTCTATCAAGGCACTTTTTGAAAGACACTACTTCCATTGAAAACTCGAGCCATTCCTCTATTATCTGACGCCATTTCTCATTCCCACAAAGCGAATCTACTATGCTTGTTAACTAAAATGAAGACTGATGATGGCTTATACTCTGCCATACAAAACATATCTGGACATGATAAGTAAGAAAGACTCATTTAAGCATAAGCTAGAAAATGAATGTGTGACTGAAAGCAGCTGATAAAAGCCAGCCAAAAATCAAGACAATTCCTCAAAGGCAGAGTTACAGGATTTTCCCCAGAAGTCTCCCACCATCCTTATCCTTAGCATATTTTGAGGTTCATTTTCTTACTTGAAGGTAATGGTGTATACAAACACTAGCCACCTACCTGAGAAAAAAGCAGCATGCGATACGAAGTTTCTTTTCAAACTAAAGTGACAACTAATACACTGTAATACTATCACACAAAATTCGACTTTTGGCCAGCTTTCCAAAGGCTTGCTGAAAGCCACTTCACAGAAGCAGAAGACAAAAACATACACATTTTCTAATTCCAGAACATAAAAATGTTAAGAAAAGACTTGGATGGTTATATACCAAAGGATTAACAGTAGTATGGCTAGAAGCATAGGATTATGAATGCATTTTTCTTCTTCTTGGTTCTCTAAAATTTCAATAGTATTGGAAAATGGGGGAATATACTAAAAAAATGTTTTTTAATTAAAAATAAAAGTTTAGTATCTCAAGTCCAAGGTTCAAAGAGTAAACTGGTTGTTTAAAAAGGAGGAGAAACTGGACCCCAAATGGGTAGCACTCAAATTAGGGACATGGTATGAAGTGATTATATATATCTAAAGCTTCTGCAGGTGCCATTCTTTAGAATGCAGGTTTGCTTCTCCTCTCTCCTCAAACTCCATCTTCCTTCTTTCTCAACTAACGCTGCAGATCCCTTTTTACACATGCCGGGTTACTCCAAGGACACAGATCTATGTGAGAATTATCTTTTCTTAAAAACAGCCTCATGAAAATAATAATCTATAACTTATCAAGGGTTCATGAGGGAGGGCAGGGGAGGGGGGGGGAATGAGCTTATACCAAGGGCTCAAGTAGAAAGAAAATGCTTTGAAAATGATGATGGCAGTATATGTACAAATGTGCTTGACACAATGGATGAATGTATGGATTGTGATAAGAGCTGTAAGAGCCCCCAATGAAAGTATTTAATAAACAACAGCCTCAAAACAATTCAGCAGGCTCCAGGCTAGC